GAAATTCGCTTTTCTTGCATTGGGCTCCGGCCCTTTTTCTTTTCTTTTCCTTTTTATTTTATTTTTTTTATTATTTTTATAGGGTTTTTTTTCATAGGACAGTCATCATAAATCGCATCAGAACGTTTTTTTCATCATGCCCCCCACTTCATGCCTCGTTCAGTCAGCAAAGCAATCTATCGTCCAAAAAATCGTCCAAAAAAAACCCACAAATCTGAGGGTTGACACAAGCAAACAAACACTGGCATCAAAACGGAAGCAAGTAGTAGGGTACAAGGTAAGTATAACAACTGAACAGCAAAAGGTGAGTGACCCGATATATGTGAGGTGTAGTTGGTTGAGTTGACTTGAGGTAGGTCGAGATCCTCGAGGAGAAGGTATGTGGAAATTGTGAGATGCATAAGGTGGGTAGAACAACAAGAACGAAACAGAACAGAGACAACAACAATTCTCAAGTAGTAAATTTAAACACACAACATGGGCACAAACAAGAAGAAAGAAAACACCCCAACCGTACCCCTTTCGCTGTCCGGTTACGCTTCCCATCCCTTCCTACCGACCAACCCAGACCCCAGTCCCAAAGCCAACACCCTTCGCCTCCCCCCGTACCCGTCCCCTTCCCCGTCCAGCCAGCCAGCCATAAAAATGTATTTTGATTCCACCGCAGAAATGAGTGACTTGAAATACGCAGCAGATAAAGCAGAGAAAGAAAGAAAGAAACAAAGAAAGCAAGAAAGCAACTGCGAATCAAACAAAAAACGCAGAAAGCGTTGAAGGGAAAAGCGAGCTTGGAAACACACAGAAAAGGAGCAAGTCTCAGGTCCGGTACCACTGACCTTGGAGAAATGTGACCATATACCCTGTCCACGCCTCGCTATGCACGCCCACCTGTCCTGTATAGCCCATCCCGCATGTCCCGAACCTTGAACCATGGTGTATTATCGAGCTTTGAATGAAATTCTTGTCAGGGGCGTATTGATTCCCATGTGTCAACGAGGAACATGGAGGTCCCAGCTGCTGTGTGTTTGTCGGTCCTGAAAAAACTCCGTCCCGGTGACGCCCTGTGAGCATGGCATTGTTCTTTTGTCTTTCCATCCCATTGCAACTTTTTACCAACCGCCGCCGCCGCCGCCGCCTCCCGCACAAACCCAGTAGTAGTAACCGCCCTCCAAACCTCCAAAGTACAGCCTTCTAAAAAAAGCCCAGCACAGACCCCTAAAAAACAAGTGTTGAAATGTTTCCCGGACTCCGGCGCCAATCTCAGTCCCCCTTATCCTTAGGCTGGGGACTTGTTGGGAGGCGCCGAGCCGCCATTCTGACGGGCATCCTGGTTGCTGACCGAAAGGTTGTTCATGCCTGAGGAAAGGAAAGCGAAGGGGTCATTTTCGTTTTGTCCGTAGAAGTTGTTGCCAGGACCGGCAGAAGCGGGCCCGTTGCCAGCGGATTGGAAGGCCGTCTCCACGGCACGGCTGTCAAAGGGACCAGCCGAGTGAGACCCAGGGGCGGGTCCAAAGTGAGTGTTCAAAGGAGGATACGGGGCAGCGCCGCCACCAATGCCAGAGGGAAGAGCGTACGTGCTCTGGGGGCCAGCAAAGTGCTGACCGTAGCCTGCGCCGGAGCCAAAACCACCAGGGCCAGCAAACGAACCAGGGCCGGGGGCAGAGCCGATCGAGCCGTGTCCCATGTTGTACGAAGACCCGGCATCCATCGGGGAAGGATATCCAGAGTCAGCTACCACAGCAGCCGTGGCGCGGCCAGCACCACACCGAAGGCAGTTTTGGTTCTTGGCAAAGTTGTGGTAACCGCAAACCTCGTTGCCGCACTTCCAGTCGCCGGCCCGGAAAGGAACGACACCAGAGCCGCCCATGCGGCCACCGCCGTGTCCGCCACCGTGTCCGTGATGGCCAATGTGGTGAGGGGGAGGGCCCATCATGGCCGGGGGGCCATATCCATACCCATAGCCCATCTCGCCGGTGGGACCAGTGCTAACGGCAGGGAACGAGCAACGGAAGCACGCCGTGCGTCTTTGGAAGTTGGAGAAGCCGCATGACGGGCAGGTCCAGTCGCCGGGCCGAGGCCTGTTCTTGCTGGGTGGGAATGGCATGAGGATGTTGGCCGCCTTGTCCAGAACGCGACTAGAGCTGGGAGAGACTTCGATGGCCTTTTCATTCAATGCACGGCCGTTCATGCACAGACTTTCGGCAGCCTGTTTTTTTTTTTTTTTCCCCAGTTAGAGCGAATCAACAAAGACATAGCGCATCATAGTGGGTCACAGGGGGGGAATGGGCCACTGGGCGGTGTGGGTGATGTTGGGAGCTCCATAGAAACAAGCGGTGACTTACCTCCTCGTGGGAAGAAAACACGGCGAAGCCGCTACCAGTGGGCTTGGACTGCTCAGGGGTACGCAGAGTCCAGAAAGCGATGGGACGACCGCCAAATTGAGTAAACCAACTTTCCAGCTCGCTCTGTGTGGTGTCGTGGGGCAGGCCTGACATGTGGAGGATCTTACTCCGTTCCGAAAGGAAAGCCCGGACGTCGGTACGAGCATCCATGGGCTGGCTGAGAACACCAGGGTGCTCGTGGGCTGGCTGGGACTTTTTGATCAGACCCCTCAGCACACGAGTGAGAGTCACAGCCTCGTCCATGGCGCGGCGAGGGGAGGCAGGGGCCAGTGCCTGGAGGTGGAAGGGGAGGTTGTGCTTGATCGGGGCACTATTCTGGACAGGCTCGACTTCCAGGGCAGCACAAATGTTGGCCAGAGACGAGGGGCCGAATGGAAGAGACTCGGGATGGTGCTGCTGCCATCTCTGATATTCGGTCCGGAGCTCAAAGGTGCGCGAGTGTTGAAGATAGGGGGGCAGCACAACGGACTTGTCACGGGCCTCACGGGGAAGCTGAACGCGCAGGTCCCAAGCTTCGAGCGTGACGAAAACGAAGTCAAGGTCATTCGAGAGCAGGTGTTCGGAGGCAAAGGCGTCGAAACGGTTGATGGCATCCCGGAAAGTGCCCGCATTCCGGACGTGTTCCCATGTGAGAGTGGTCAGGCTCGCTAGCAGACAGACGGTCAGCAAAGCAAAGTTGATCAAGGCGGCCGAGATAGCAATTGAGCATCGGCGGGACGAGAATGGCGGAAACTCACTGCAAAGGGGGGTGATGGGGGTGTTGACAGGCTTGACAAGGACGCTTTCGCGGTGAAGCTGACGGGCAGGAGCAACGGGTTAGAAAACATGGTATTTTTTTTTTTCCTCAGGGGCTGTTGGGTTTGGGGAGTTTGGCCCACCTCGTGAAGGTCGATGCTGTTGGCGTCGAGCAGGATCCAGCCGAGCTCGATGACCTCAGCCGAGTCCTTGGTGACATAGACACCGTGCTCGTCGCAAGTGGTGGCGACGTGGATCACGACATATCGGTCGGTTCTGAAAGGGGGGGTTTGTTGGGGAGTAGCCATGTCTCCGAGGACAGGCGTGGTCGAGCTCGTAACTCGAACAGCGCGATGGGGACAATTTAAAGTGGCGGCGGCAGCGAAACCTAATTGCTGATAAGGGTGTTAATTAAGCTGATGATTGGGTTGTGACGACAGTGGCTTCCTCCTGCTTCTGCTGATGAGGTGTCGTGGATGGCAAGCTTCAAAGGGGAGCAGCAAACGAACGGCGGTGGCTTTTTCAATGACCAAGGTCGCGGACCAGCAGAAGGGAGTTGCCGAGTCCAACGACCCACTCCATGCCCGCACCCACGGTGGACTCCGCAGGGGGGCAGCGCTGGGACGCTGGCTGGCTGCTGGCAGTGCCAACTGACAAACTGCGTGTGCACCACCCATCACCCAGCACATCTCGCCAACTGACCTTTCTTGTATAATTTTTGCACATCTTGTACCTGCCATCGTACAAATTCAGCTGAAAAAAAGCAGAGTAGGGTCTGTGGGGGAAGGATGACGGCAGCGGGGAGAGGGCCATAAGATTCAGGGAGGATTCAGGTTCAGTATGAGCGGAAACGATAGGGAGAATAAAGGGACCGAAAAAGTGCAGGCTTCCTGTAATAGGATACCCTTTTGGTAAAAAGTGACGGATGCATCCCGGTCAAATCATCACCCAAATCCACTTGTTATAGAGTCTCAACCGTCTCAACAACAGGGCAATGAATGTTGTGGATACTGACCGCTTCCAAGTTGTCGTGTAGTGGTGATTGTCTTGAAGGTTTGTTCCGATTTGTAAGTTTGCGTGAGCGTGAGCGTGAGCGCGAACAAGGGACAGATCGGGGCAGCACCTTGAGAACCTCAGTAACTGCCACCTAGCTAGATATCGGACAGTTGCCTCGTCCCCAAGGTGCTGATGTGATCGCGCCGAGTCGGAGCTCAGTTTAGCTTACGGTTCGTTTCGCGAAAACACCAGGCTGTAACAGACTCTGTCGAAGAGGGGCAGAGGGATGGGTTGACACCTCTCTATAAGAAAGCCTGGGCTTTGGCAAGAGAGGGTGGACACTATGGTAATGGGCCAAGTTAAAGCAACGCCTAAATTCCCAACATCAATTGATGCTCTCCACAGGACCTCGTTTTGTGCTTGCTGGTGGAGGAAGCATCACGCTTATCATGCGAGGCTGATGAAGCTTCGTCAGGACCGCGTCTCCTCCCACTCAGAAAGTCCAATGCGTCATTTCTCTGGTGTGCTAACAATATGTTGGTGTCCATTATTTAGAGTTCTCCTTGCGCTTTGTCACTTTGTTGGCGATTTTTGCATCACGTCTTAAAAAGCTCTCTCGTATCAGCGATGGAGTTGCGATTGATGCCCGAGTCCGCGATATGCGTCATCGGCAGGCACTGTGTTGGAGTCACGCGGCCTGAGCCTGAGCGATAACTGCGTGATGGGTAAGTAAAACTGCGGAGTCTCAGTCGAAGCCAATGTGCAGCCAAACGCCATCAATGATTTCAGAGGGGATTTTCAGAGTTTTGAGGTGTTCGTGGCTTCAGCCAGGCACTTACAGCTGTTTTTTCTTTTTTTTTCTTTTGCCCCCTACTGCCTACGAGATTACAGCAGGAGCATCAGATGACGACGTTGACGGTGATTTGCCCGTGGGTCCTGCAGCATCGGTTCTCCAGGGGTGGAGGGGGGGAGGAAGCTGTGGAAGGCTCCCCGGCTGCGGCCCCCTTTCAACCTGCCGACGGGGAGTTAGGCGAGCCGTCATTTCGTTCCGAGCCCACACCCCGGCACCGGCTTTCTCCACATGTTCGGGTTCGGGATCGGGGATTGTACTGTACGGATAGCTCCTGCCGAGCCGGGAGTTCACTTGTTCACCCGGGTGGTGTGCTCCTTCCGCCAACACCAACAACAGGCCATTTCAAGTTCAAGGTGGAAGTTACTTCTGCCACTTCAATTCGCTGGCTAACTTGGAATAGGTATCCACCTCAATGCCGCACGGCATGGAAGGCGCTTCCCGCTTGGGAGGCGGAAGGGGATCTTATCTGACCAAAAGGGATCTGGAACTTACAGATGTACCATTGGAATTCTCCCCACCATCTTCAAGCTCAACATCACCATCGTCAGCCTTGTCCTACCACTGCAGCTCCGCCAAGACAATCTCACCATGGCAGGTTTCGACGGTACCGCATTCTTCGCCCTTTTCCTCGGATTTTTCTTCCCTCCTCTCGGTGTGGCGCTCTTAACAGGGTGTGGAACTGATGTGTGTATCAACCTCTGTCTCCTCATTTTTGGGTACGAGATACGCTCCATTTATGGACCAAAACCCGGTCAATCAACTGATGGTCCACCCACATAGCGTGATCCCCGCCTACTTGCACCTCTGGTACCTCGTATACGTGTATCTGGACAACAAGAAGCTTCTGAAGCCAATCGACGGCGGACGTCCGTTTGTATTTTCCGATAAGCTTCAGCGAATCAGCACTCGAAACCGGAGCACCGCAAGCCTTCCAACCCCCAGGACTTCCACCAAAGAGGTACAACCCCATCGGAGCAATCCGGCCGTGCAGGAGAAGCCAGCCCAAGAGCAGAAGCCTGCTGCCGAACAGACCTCAACACCGTCTGCTATATCAACCCCAGTCTCGACATCTGGTCCTTCGACAAAACCCGCACAGAAAACAACCACCCAAGCCGCAGCTTCGGAGCCAACCCCGGCAATGTCGCCGCTTCCACTTCTTGACAAGAATGACGGCGCTTCTCCACAGGCGAAGGCCTAGACATTTCCATTGAAGGGATAAAGGGGTGATCAGTGACGAGAGACTGCTTGGAAAGAGTCAAAAGGAGGCATGGTGGAGTTAGTGTTGGGCAACCTAAGTATTCTTCTGGGTATCTCTGGTTACAACAGGACATGGCTAATCAAACACGTTTTTTGCTATCTGGTTTGATGACTGAACCGGGCTGAAGTGTTTTTTTTTTTTTTTTTTTTTTTTTTTTTTTTTTTTTTTTGAGTTGGCTGGTGGCCGCCTCGCACCACAGAAAACACAGGAAAAGCTCAACAATTGAGAGTGCTCAGAATTACTCGAGCACGAGATAGGCGCTCTTAGCGCTATCTCACCCTTGTGTTTGCTATCTGTTCCTGTGCTTGTGTGATGTTCTCCAAGGAGGGTGAGGTTGGGCTGAGTGGACCCCTGTTTCCCGAAAGCTTGGGCCACAACCCTCTTGTTCAACCCCGCTTAGATGATGGTGCATGCTCCCACTGCAGTCGACCTCGACCACAGACCTTTGAACGACAGCCACGACTGCTTGCATACAAGGCCGCCTGCTGTCATCCAATGACGGCAGCCAGTGAGCTTCTTTTGCGGTTTCTGATCGATCGAATCAAGTGGACGGGATAGGGCTTTTCCTACTTGCCCCTCCCCATTTTCTCTCCCTGTGCCGTGCCCCCCCCATCCCCGTCAATCTGTTCCGCGTCCACGACACCTTCGGGCCTCCCTACATTCACGACCACGTCTCCTCTATTGCTCCTTGTTTTTTTCCCTTTTCCTTTTGTTTCGTTCGGCGCCTGCGCGCGCGCGCGCTCCCTGATACCACGGCACCTGCATGGTGCAGCTGCAGAGAAGTAAAGCTACCCGTTTCGTTTAAGCAGCAGAGAGAAGTTGCTGCTGGGCTTGGGTGCATATAGGATGGATGTGTACAATAATAGGGCGGATGGCCCCCCGGGGGGATCTGATTCCTCTGAATTATCACCGCAGTCCTCATCTTCCTCCAACCCTGAGGTGGCAGTCGATCTTAACTCGGCCATAACAACAACTACTACAACTACTACTACTACTACTACTACTACTACTACTACTACTAAATCCAAAAGAAGGAGGTCGTTCCCGTTGGGGTTTGTGACTGGGGTTTTGTTCTCTTCTAGCAGTGACCCGTCGTCTTTTGTTGACGGGGCCAGGGCGGAGGGGAGACCGGTTGGTAGTAGTGGGAAGAACAGCACCACGGCGACTGCGCTGAGGAGGTTGAGCAACAGGTTCCCTTCGGCTGTGGAGAGCGGGGGTAGTGAGCAGGGGAGTTTGACGACGACGACGACGACGGGGCCGGTGGTGGTTCGGACGTATAGCGGTGGTGGGGGGGATCAGCGACGTCGGAGCCGGCGCGGTCGTGTGTTGAGTTCTGGGGTGGCGACGACTGGTAGTTCGAATCTTGACGTCACCACCACCACTACGCAAGCAACACTGTCATCCGAAGAAACAACAGCAGCAACCATGCCGCCGAAACAACACCAGTCAGGGTCGGCGTCGTCGAAACCGCGATCGGGGTTCTTGCTGGGGGGTTGGACATGGGGGGGGAGGGAACAGCGACGACAAGAAGAACCTAAACTCCCGCCTCTGGAGGCGTTTTCGTTTAGGTCTTTTGTTCAGGATGCGGGCCAGCAGCAACAGGGTGATATCAGTGCTGATTTGGATAGGATAGCGGAAATTTGTGCTAGGAGTCGGTACTCGTTGTCGAATCAGTACGAGGTTCATGTTGCGCCTCATGGGTCGGGGGCGGGGTTTGTGACGGAACAACAACAACAACAACAACAACAACAACAGAGGAGTAGGAGGGGGAAAAAGAGTGTGGCTGAGGGGAGGTTGGAGACTATTATGAGCTGTAGTCGGAGTTGTTCCTCTGAGGGGGGAGATGGGATGAGACAACAACAGAAGGGGGCGGGGGAGGTTGTTGAGAGGGTGAGGGGAATAGTAG